CTTCGAATAAGCTTTTTATACTTTAAATTATTTATGTATTAAACTAACACACCGTAAAAGTAATAAATGTTATTTGCAATAGATTTTTTTTTATTTTTAATTGTAACAGTGTTTATGGCCAGACATATGTGTATTTTAAAGAACAAACACAAAGCAATAATTTATTTCTCTTGTCGCAGCTAACAGTAAAATAAATAACATTAATTTTAATGTTCATATTTAAAACACTGTAATGGTGGGTTAATTAAATAAAATTCGTATCATTTAGTTACTACGAGTCAACAGAGATACATGACCGCCAAGCGACATGACACTTAATTTGATAAAAACATTTTTCGTATCTTGCTTTGTTATAAATATTGTAAGTGCTCTGAGTGACCTAAAAAAAGAAAACGAAATTGAAGGTAAGGTCGTAGTCATTACGGGAGCAGCACAAGGTATCGGTTATGCTATAGCTGATAACTTTTTGAAAAACGGTGCAAAAGTCATAATTATACTGGACATAAATGTGCCAAAAGGTATACAAGCTGCGAAAGAGTTAAATTGTAAGTACGGAAAGAATAAAGCTGAGTTTATTGAATGCGATATCACTAAAGATTTGGAAAGGATTTCGAAAATTATTTATAAGAAATACAAATACGTGGATGTACTAGTTAACAATGCAGGAATATTTAAAGAAATTAAGCCAAGGAAACTCCTGTTGACAAACGCAGTAGCTACTATTGAATTTTCTCTCAAGTTCATGGAAAATATGAGAAAAGACAAACTAAGTGGAAAAGGCGGTACTATAATCAACATAGCATCGACAGTAGTGCATTACATTGATCCTTTCTTTCCTACATACAGAGGAACGAAATTTGCCATCATGGGATTCTCACGATCTCTAGGACATGAATACAACTACAAAAAGAACGGTGTGAGAGTACTAACAATATGTCCCGGAGAAACAAATACAACACTGGGGTTAGATAATTCCAATGTAAATAGTGAAGACGCAGCAGCTCTTGCTAAAGAATATCAATATCAAATTATACAATCTCCCGATAATGTAGGGAAAGGAGCTGTAGAAATATTCAAAAACGCTAAAACTGGTACGTCTTGGGATGTCGAAAATGAAAAACCTCCTGTTGAGTCGACTGATACTATAAGACTTTTAAAAATTGGTGAAAGCCTGTGATCTTGATATTTAAATTTGTATCACGATAAATTAGTTTGATCTGTTTTACGCATAATTCTTGAATAATTCGAACGATGATTAAATACAAATAACATTTAGCAAAAATGAATTTAATTTCAAACCAAAATTAATGTAAAAGACAATTACTTCGTGTTAACCAATAAAGGTTATCCAAACCAAACCAAACCAAAAAATTACACCAATACCTAGTCCAGCTATAAGTTCTGTTACAAATGAAAATGCATTTTTGTTACGTAGTAGTGTAATATTATTAAAATTTATACCTACATATTTATTAAAGTCTCAGCAAAAAATAAATAATTTTTTTTTTTCGAAATGGCCACCTTTGGCTTTTATATAGGCCCTTAATCTATTTGGTCATGATTTTTTTGAATGCTTAAATGGGTGGACGAGCTCACAGCCCACCTGGTGTTAAATGGTTACTGGAGCCCACAGACATCTACGACGTAAATGCGCCACCCGCCTTGATATATAAGTTCTGAGGTCTCAAGTATGGCTGCCCCACCCTTCAAACCGAAATGCATTAATCACCGCTTCACGGCAAAAATAGGCAGAGTAGTAGTAGTACCTACCCGCGCGGACTCTCAAGAGGTCCTACCACCAGTAATTACGCAAATTATAATTTTGCGGGTTTGATTTTTATTTTATTACACGATGTCCTTCACCGTAGAAGTCAATCGTGAACATTTGTTGTTTCCAAGGGAAGTTTTGCTACTGCTTGCTCTAAAGATTTTTTTAGAGACTCAATGCCGCTGTGTCGCTTAGAGCAGGCCATGTCCTCTAAAACTGACTATCTTTTAAATTTAAAAGGTTTAGGTCTGGCCTAGATGAGGACCAGTCTTCACCTCTTATAAAGTCCGGAACGTTAGTTTCAAGCCAGGCTTGGGTAGTTCGTGCCTTGTGACCAGATGCAGAGTTCTGCTGGACAGTCCACGATATATTTTAAAAAGTGTATTGCTGAGAGATTTCACAACATGATTCAAGACTGTATTTTGATACACTTTAGCTGAAGTTTTCACTCATTTTTCACAAAAATGTAGTTTTGTGACTCCTTGATAAGACACGTCCCACCAAACTATCGCTGACGCAGGATGATGGCCAAGTTGTACATTTCCAACTACTTGAGCAACAACTATGAGCGTACACTTTATCATTTAGTTTATAGTGTAGTTTGTAGTGTTCTTCAATCGTGAAAATTTTTTCATCGGTAATGAGAATATTTATGTGCCTTTCACCTGCGTACCGCGACAGAAGGCATTGTGATCGATCCAGTCTCTTTAATTGTAAAGATTAATTTAGGGCATGTCCTGTATATCGACGATAAGAACCAAGCTTCAGGTTTTATTTTATAATACGCGACAGAGTCCTAACGGGAATTTTCATTTCTCGGGATAAGGTTTTTTGCTACCTAATGGAGTTTCGACGAATTCTGGCTTTAACAGCATTAACGGCCTTTGTAGTTCTAACAGCACGCGGCCGCCCCGATCTTTTCTGGTCTTCGATAAATAGACGAAGTGTTTTTGTATCTGTTGATAGTACGATGTACGAACATACGGCTGATACCAAGCTTTTGTATCCCGAATATGACTGACGGCTCCATACCCACTTTGTGCGAGGCGATCACTGCAATTCTATTTTCTTTAACACCCCATTCCATATTGTAATTTGATAATGAACACGAAAAAATATATGAAATGGCGCAAAAGCGAAAGAAGTTTTTAAAATAATATACGTGTTCCAAATTCAAAGTAATTAAAAAGTTGAAAAAAAGAATAGTTTTTATGTAACAGTATTTATGGCCAGACTAGTTACATTGCCGCAGTCTCATATGGAAATGTCTTTGTTTTGTGTTGTGTGATTTCTTTTTATGTTTACATTTTACATTTAACAGAAATAAAAAAAACAATACTTCAAAGCTTCATGTTCTATTAAAACTAAATTTTGAAATAGTATTTCAGAAATACATTATTTCAAAAATTATTTTATTTCAAAGAACAAACAGTAGGCAATAATTTATTTCACTTGTCGCAGTTTTCAGTAAAATAAACATCATAAATTTTAATAATGTACATATTTACAATACTGTGATGGTGGGTTAATTAAATAAAATTCGTATCATTTAGTTACTACGAGTTAAAAGTGGTACATGACCGCCAAGCAACATGACACTTAGTTTGATAAAAACATTTTTCGTGTCTTGCTTTGCAATAAATATTGTAAGTGCTCTGGGTGATATAAAAGATGAAAAAAAAATCGAAGGTAAGGTTGTAGTTGTTACGGGAGCAGCACGAGGTATCGGTTATGCTATAGCTGATAACTTTTTGAAAAATGGTGCAGAAGTCATAATTATACTTGACATAAATGTGCAAAATGGTATAAAAGCTGCGAAAGAGTTAAATTGTAAGTACGGCAATAACACAGCCGAGTTTATTGAATGCGATATTACTAAAGACTTGGAGAGAGTCTCGAAAATGATTTCTTTGAAATACAAATACGTCGATGTACTAGTTAACAATGCAGGTATAATTGAAGAAAATAAACCAAGGAAACTCTTGTTGACAAACGCTGTAGCTACTATTGAATTTCCTCTTAAATTCATGGAAAATATGAGAAAAGACAAACTAAACGGAAAAGGCGGTACTATAATTAACATAGCGTCAACTGCAGTGCATTACATTGATCCTTTCTTCCCGACATACAGAGGAACGAAATTTGCAATTATGGGATTCTCACGATCTTTAGGGCACGAATACAACTACAAAAAGAGCGGTGTGAGAGTACTAACTATATGTCCGGGAGCAACAAATACAACACTGGGTTTAAATAATATCAAGGTGAATAGTGAAGACGCGCCAGCTCTTGCAAAAGAATATCAATATGTAACTATACAATCTCCCGACAATGTAGGGAAAGGTGCTGTGGAAATATTCAAAAACGCTAAAACTGGTACGTCTTGGGATATCGAGAATGAAAAACCTCCTGTGGAGTCGACTGACACGATAAGAGTTTTAAAAATTGGTGAAAGCCTTTGATCTTTTCTTTTAAATTCGTATAACGATAAATCAATCTGATCTGTAGCGGATAATTCTTGAATAATTCGAACGATGATTAAATACAAATAATATTGAGCAAAAATGAATTTAATTTAAAATAAAAATTAATGTAAAACATTATTGACTACTTCGAGACTTATAGATTCACCGGAGAACGGGTAGCGGTTATTTCTTAGTATTATAAATACCTATATACTGCAACTAGCCGTACTCGCCCGCTTGGCTGCGCATTTAAAATTAACATTATTATTTATAGTCATTATTATTAGGGAGTGCAACACTCAATTATAAATATTAGCCTATCCATTAAGTACATGTATTTTCTACAAGGATAGTTTCAAGTCAATCGGATGCATGGTTCAGTAGTTATAACGGAACATCCGTAAAAACCACTGTAGATTTATATATTAGTATAGATGTAGATTTATATATTAGTATAGATCACCAACTGACACCTTTACTGTGGGTATGGCTGCGTGTACAAGTTTACAATATACATATACAGTACCTACCTCAGTACCTCCATCCAATTTATTACTGCAGCGAAAAAAACATGTGTTCCAGATTGAAGGGTGGGTAACTGTTATCCAATAGATATTTTGACCTCATGTCTTAAAGTAAGCAGCAGCTTTTACGTTGTGATGCTTATTTGCACCGGTGAGCGTATTACACCAGGTGGGCTGCGAACTGCTTCAGCCATTTAAGTAATAAAAAAATATATTGCTTTATTATTCAAGCTACTTGATTACCTTTCAACAACTTTATCCAAGGGAATATCCCGAGCGGGAGCATCGATCCAGTCAGCGTTGTCCGCGCGCGTGTTCTCACCAACCACCCGGTATTGGAGTCGATAGTTCCGGAGCTTAGCGTTACCGTCGTAGCCGCGACGCCAGGCTAGGGTGGCTCCACGACCTGATCTTTTGGCTACGTGCAAACCCAGTGGAGCCTCGGGAAGTTCTGTGTAGATTTAATATTATATTTACATCTTACATTCTTTGTGAACTCATATATTGTGTTGAAACAACTTACAGAGATCCTACAATTTAATAGCTTTTTAACTCCCAACATCACTATCGGATTTAAAAGCGAAGACTCGTTTAATATTATAACTGAATTAGTTTCAATTATCTGTTCATTTTTGGAAATGTTATGTAAAGCATTCATTCATTGATGCGAATATGTGGATGTTAAATGGTTTTTCTTGTAATACCATTGAGTTATTTAAAAGATATCCGTAATTATTTTAAAACAGTCAATCAAACCAAATTTCCCCATACCTTGAACAGCCAAGTATATCAATAGTTCATCTCTCCCATAAGCGTTCTCAGCTCGACATCTGTATACTCCTGAATCATGACGTTCAGCGTGAGCTATTGTAAGCTGTGAACTGACACCGCTTTCTGATCTCTTTTCTGATACGGATACCCTGAAATAAAAGATTTATTCTCCTAGATATGAGAATCATGAGTGAAAGTAGTTTATTTTACTTTTTTTTTATTGCTTAGATGGGTTGTCGAGCTCACAGCCCACCTGGTGTTAACTGGAACCCATAGACATCTACAACGTAAATGCGCCACCCACCTTGAGATATAAGTTCTAAGGTCTCAAGTATAGTTACAACGGCTGCCCCATCCTTCAAACCGAAACGCATTACTGCTTCATGGCAGAAATAGGCAGGGTGGTGTTACCTACCCGCGCGAACTCACAAGAGGTCCTACCACCAGTAATTACGCAAATTTTAATTTTGCGGGCTAGATGTTTATTTATTACACAGTGTTATTCCTTCACCGTGGAAATCAATCGTGAAGATTGGTTGAGTACGTATTTCATTAGAAAAACTGGTATCCGTCTGCAGGATTCGAACACCGGTACATCGCTCAACACGAATGCACCGGACGCCTTAATTTATCATTTAGGCCACGACGACTTCTATGTATCTTCAAATTAGTACTATATCTACCATCATAACCCGAAATATCCCGAGGGTCAAAGTGTCAGGCAGTAGTTCACCCAGCTCTTGGAGACAAATACCTACCGGTAAGTAGTAAGGTCCACTCTTTTCATGTTGTGCGTCCATTGCAGCTGTATAGGAGAGTCGCCTCTTGCGTCGCAATGTAGAGTTGTCTGTGTTGTACGTTTCACCGTCATGTTACGTGAGGAAAACTCAAAATGAGCAGGCTCTGAAAAGTAATTAGATAAACACGGCGATCGTGCAAAGGATAGTAAGGAACAGAGCTCACATGTTTTTTTGAATCCAACTTCATTACGTGTGATGTCATTTGGGGTCAAATTAAACATATATAGATTTTAAATTGTTTATCCAGATATGATAACCATGCATTGTGATTGGTTCGACTTGACATAAGTAACGCTAAATTAATTTTTTTACTGACACTAGTAAGCTCGGACTATATTTGTGAATGTGATATAAAATTATCATATAGTAAATTGTTTGTTCACCTCTGATACTTTTATCATTAAATTGGGTATCGTATTATAATTCAGAACATAAAATTCTAAGAATGAACTATTATTATGGCTATTAGTAAATTCACAGAGTTACCGGAGCCCATATACATATACAACATAAATGCCGCCACCCACCTTGAGATATGCTGATATGAGATATGAGATATGAGACAACAGCTGCCCCACCCTTCAAACCGAAACGCATTACTGCTTCACGGCAGAAAAAGGCAGGGCGGTGGTACCTACCCGTGCGTACTCACAAGACGTCCTACCACTAGTAATTACGCAAATAAAAAATTTGCGGGTCTGATTTTTATTAGTGGCATTAAATTCGTATATTTTGATTAAATCAAGATTACCGTTGATTGAAATCGTGATAATTTTGCTGAGGCCCCTTCCGATGCCGTTAGTGGAGGAGCACATGTACTGTCCCTCGTGGTGGTGCGCGGCCGCGGCGATGCCCAGGGACCCGTTGAACAAAATCGAGAACTGAAGATCGAGACTGGAGACTGGACGAAAATCTGTCGCTCCGGTCCCTGAAAAACAAAATTCCGTTTTATTATAGTTCCCGTGAAAATGGAATGGAATACGCGAAAACCCTATTTTAATAAATAGCCCAAAGGTAGTTAGGTATTGTACATCGGAAACATTCTTGGAAGACAGCCAATAGAGATAAACTTTTAAAAATGATATCATCGCTATAGGATTCTTTATTTTTCAATAAATTTATATAATGCTACTTGCCTAATTCTATTCCGTGTTGTCGAAACTAATATCAAAAAATGGTTAATTTAGCGTTAACAAAATATAATCTCTATATATAAAATAAAATTTATATATAAAAATGAATTGCTGTTCGTTAGTCTCGCTAAAACTCGAGAACGGCTGAACCGATTTGGCTAATTTTCGTCTTGAATTATTTGTGGAAGTCCAGAGAAGGTTTAAAAGGTAGAAAAAATATGAAAATGCTCGGAATTAAATAAAAATAACAATTTTGTTTTTCCTTTGATGTGTCCCCCGTTGGACCGATTCCTTTTGTTTGTTTTAAGTTTATTTTATACAAAGGTTTACGTTTTTTTTTTATTGCTAAGATGGGTGGACGAGCACACAGCCCACAGCCCACTTGGTGTTAAGTGGTTACTGGAGCCCATAGACATCTACAACGTAAATGAGCCACCTACCTTGAGATATAAGTTCTAAGGTCTCAAGTATAGTTACAACGGCTGCCCCACCCTTCAAACCGAAACGCATTACTGCTTCACGGCAGAAATAGGCAGGGTGGTGGTACCTACCCGCGCGGACTCACAACAGGTCCTACCACCAGTAATTACGCAAATTATAATTTTGCGGGTTTCATTTTTATTACACGATGTTATTCCTTCACCATGGAAGTCAATCGTGAACATTTGTTGAGTACGTATTTCATTAGAAAAATTGGTACCCGCCTGCGGGATTCAAACACCTGTGCATCGCTCAACACGAATGCACCGGACGTCTTATCCGTTAGGCCACGACGACTACAAAATACTTCTAAATATCCTTACTTTTTGTTACTTGTGGTCAAATCATTTCATAGATATTTAGATTGTTTATTGATTTGTGATTCGAGTGTATGTCTATTAGATTTATAGATTTTAAATTCACTAAAATAAATCTAGTAATAGTATAATAATGTAGTAATCTTTTTTTTTATTGCTCATGTAAGCAGATGAGCATACGGTAAGTAGTTACAGTCGCCCATGGACTTCAGCAATGCCAGGAGCAGAGCCAAGCCGCTGCCTACCGTTAAGTATTCTCCACAAGCCTCGTTTGAAGAAGGACATGTCATAGCGCTCGGGAAATACCGTGGAGGGGAGCTCATTCCAAAGCCGGATGGTACATGGCAAAAAAGATCTCTCCAAGCTGGCAAAAAATATCTCTGGAAGCAGCAAATCTACGGCATTCCTACCGTGGCCTTTCAACCAGGTAACCCTCGGCTCCGGATAGCCTTTCGTGGCGCAGTTTATTAGTATCTGGGTGCCCAATAGCGCGGAGACATCTTGAGGCTCGTATACCCAAGACGGTGCAACTGAAAAAGAATATTCGGAAGATTAAGCTACAAGTCACTAAATATTTATTTGGTTACAAATTCTAAATGAGACACAAAACATTTTAAGCATTAGGCTAGAAATTCTATTCGCTCTGAAATGACTCTGTTTTGTTGTGTATAAACCCTTTTCGTGACTTATATCTGTTTTGCATGACGTTGAGTTTTATTTCATATATTTTTATCAAATCTTTTTATGTTATTGATATTATATTATTTAAATGAAATTGTCATAAAAACTATTAAGGCTTGACTATATATGGTGACTGATACAGTGCATTCACAAGAACAGCTATAACTGATCGATGATGTATGCCCTAATCATCCCCTAATTAGCTCGTCAAGCAATTTAGGCACTATAAATAAATAGACATACAATAATAATAATTTTGTAATATTTTCTTCCTTTCTTATTTATTATCGTTTTAACTAATCTTAACTGTATTGGACAATGTTGTCGTTGTGTTTGTTTCTTAAAATGCTTTATGAACTTCATCTACGATTGAATATTTTATTTAACTAGCTCAAAAAACCATATTTTTACCTTTAACAGCGAGTCTCGCCGTGTGGTTGACTTCGGCAGCCGTGTTGCTGGCGACACAGGTATAATCACCACTGTGCTTCGACGTGACATGGGAGAAAATCAAAAAGCTAAACTCGTCTAGAGATTTCTCTTGAACCTACAAAACAGTACAGAGGTTGAAGTTTAGAAAAGGAAATAATTTAAACAAAATTATTTTAATACGCTTTTATTAGCTTCAGACGTATATTTGTAACGGGATCTTTAAATATGATTTTGACCCCCTTCAAAACGTCGGATTAACTCTAAATTTCGTATTCTTATTAAGGACCGATGACCATAAAACAATTAAAAAAAATTAAAAAAAAAACATTGAAAAGATTGAAATTCAACTAATGAATGAAGAAAAAAAAATTGTTTAAAAAAACTAACAAAATACGCTTTTATAGAAAATCCAACTATAAAATAGAAAATATATTTTAATAAATTTGAATTTAAAATAGTGTAAGAAAAAATTATTTTATTGTAAAAAAAGTGTGGAGTGCATGGTATCAGTAGTTATAAACATTTTATGAACAGATATGAATAGAAGGGTTATTTTGATAACATCCTGAAAAGCAGCCCACGCTTTTTTTTAAATTATTTTTTGAAATAACCTTTTAAAACGGCTGTGCAAAAAACTGAAGATGATAATGACATTTGCCTTTAAGACTAAAACTGGGCTTAGTTCTACATACTCCCGTACGCGTGTCTTCTAGATAGTATCTACACAAGAGCTGTTATAAAAATACCGATTTCAACAAATCGATAAACAATCACTGGTATAACCTAGTTTCAAAAGTTACATAGTATTATAGAATACAAAATGCAATTATATCTATAGACCTGCAAGCTAGGCGGTATGTGTTGTCCATCCTTCAGCCAAGCGAAGTAAACGGGCTTGTCTCCGGAAGTTATACCGCATAGCACTTGTATAGAACTGCCTTCTACTAAATCCGTTGGAAAGTTGAATCCCGCTATTTTTGGTGGATCTGAAATAATTTTTGTTTTACTTCAAGAAACATTAAGGGACTTTGAATCATTGAAACGCTTATTGACTGCGTAACTTGAGGATAGTTATGCTCAACTCTAACCAAATCAATGATATCGTGGAGAGAATTAAAGAAATGCGAACTCAATATTTGAATTATTACAATAAAAATAAAAATAATTAACTATAATAATTTACTTATACGTGACAGAAATTATCTAATTTTGAAAACAATTTTAACCAATCCTAATAGTTTTTCCTTTCCCGAACTTATTTATAGAAGGACAGCATTATGCAACAAAAGTAAAATTCACAAATATTTATAAACTTAAATAGTTGTTGGTAGTGGGGCTTATTATTAGCCAGCATGCGGAGAAACCAGAAAGCAGTCATACACTGTGCCTTAAAGGTTGACCATTGAGACTTCGGTCTCGATGACACTAATGTTGTGATGTCTGCGGACCACTACCATATCACAACAGAAGGTCTGTTAGATCATCCAAAAAATATACTTAAACGAACAATAATGGGAAAATTTAAATCGAATTAAAAGGAATTACGAACTTTTTTAGTCGTTCCCTAAAAATACTCATGCGTTCATTGTTATAAAGGTAACAATCGTATTCTAAGGTAAATTTAATTTTTACATAATTAAGAATCGCATGGAATACTAAAAAGCCCTTACTTCGTACAAATATTTGGATATCCTTCTGAGCGTATTGTCCAGAAGGTGATGTGACTCGGCAGGAATATACAGCTGCGTCAGCTGGTTCTGCCGGCCAGAGCAGCAGGTCTCCAGACGCACCAGTTAATGCTCGACCACTGCTGGACGTTAGATCCATTCCTCCTCGTTGCCAACGGATTTCACTGTAAGGGAATATAGATATATGCCAATTGAAACAGTTTAGTTCAGAATTAATAATCTCTGAATTTCTAGAAAGATTTCGAATCTTATATGAAATTTACACTTCTAATTATAAAATAAAAACTTCATTTAAAATATTACCAGGATTGACTAAATTTTAAGCGACTAATCTGTGGTTTTATTCTGAGATTCCAAAACGCTGCCTACATTAATGATTTTGACTAAGTGAATAAAATTAAATAAAAGAAAAATTACTGTTGCGTAATCCAACAGACAAGAACAAAAATCTAATTAAAAGTTAGTTGTCTCATTTATTGTAAATAAAAAAAATGAGAATTTCTAAAATTACAAATAATTGTATTAGAATATTATTAATTTATTTAAAACTACTTGAAAACTAGAACATAAATAAACTCAAGGAAACTTATATTTTTACTAAGAAAATGCACCTCCATCAACCTGATTGGGAATCCTGAATATGGGCAGTAGACGGTCGTGTTCACACCTGCGACCACGCGGACGGGACCGATGCTCCTTATTGATGGGGGACCTGCAGAGATATGCCCAATTTATTATATATATCCCGTTCGGTACAGCGGCAAGTTAGAAAGATACGATGGCTGTTGTATCTGTAAAATTTTGATGCTTACATAAAGCTTTTGATATCTAGTTGGTAATGGGTGATTCTGGGACATCACATGGATAATGCATAAAATACTGCCATTGATTTTGAGATCTGAGTTCAAAGTCACAATGTATAACAACAGAATTAAAATGCATGTAAATGCTCATGATACGACCGACGCTTCCTTAACATACGTAACGATTCATGTGTGTTGGTTGTTAATGCATTTATTTAAAGCATTTGATACCGACAATTACTTAAAACAATTCCGCGACGACTATCCTGCTATTTCTACTGTGAAGTAGTAATGCATTCCGGCTTAAAGGATGGGTTTACCGCCAATTGCCCAGCTAAGCCGAGTACTCATTCACCCGTTTAAGCAATAAAAAAAACACCAGCCAGAATTTTGCCTCGACATGATCAGACCAGTCGATACGAATATACCAAACGTCCTATCCACATTAGACCCGACGTATCAAAATTTAGCATTTTCAAAGCTTATTCTTCAATTTTTGTTTTCATTACCTACGTATAGCGTATCGCTAAAATCAATTAAAAATATGTAAATAAAAACAAAACTCATCGAAGTACTTTATTCTTAAAACAATAAACTGTTAATTTCTGTCTACTACTGGTTTTATTATGATTATTAACGTAATCTAATAATCTAAAAATAGATCAATAAAATTAAGCAATTCCATGGTGATGTCTATTTTTATTCTGTACTCTATAATTCAATTTTTACTAAGCTAATTATTTTAATTGCATAACCTATTTGAACAAGACCAAGATATTTGCTTAGGTAATACCCTGCTATATTTAAATTATAAACATCTGAAATCTTACCGTACACATTGAGTCTAGTTGAATGGTCGACAGAGCCTCTGGTGTTGTGAGCTCTGCACGTGTATCTTCCACCGTCTTCAGGTCTCACCGATGTTAGATTCAAGTAAGTCACTACGTCACCATTAGTATTCACGAACTGTGTTATGCTCCTGTGAAAAACGAACGTTTATTAGTATTATCATCATCATCATCATCATCATTAGCCCTCAGTCGTCCACTGGTAGACATAGGCCTCTCCTAATCCACACCACTAAGCCCAGTCTTCGGCTCTCCTCATCCACCCCTTGCCGGCTACCGTTCAGAAGTCATCGCACCACAGGCGGAGGGGGTCCCTGTACTATTTTAGAAACTCCGTAATAGCAAATAGAATGATTTTGCACTTTTATCCCAATTCTATCGCAACTTTTGTTTTATTAATTTTATTTATAAATAAAATTCACAGTTTTCATGCTTGCGGCCATAACAAAAAAAATATGGAAAATTGCCGCCAATTTACCCTCCATTGCTTCTAATATTATCCATTTCTTCTTTAAATTAAATAACTAATATTACACTATGGTAATAATTAATATAGTAATACATTTTTTTTGGTACAGCATACATAATATATTATAATATGTTGCATACATGTTGTTTGTATGAAAAAAATGGATTTTTGTTTAGATAATCATTAAATTTGATAGTTGAATGAAAATAGAAGGATATGACTGTACCGAACTAATAAATCCAGATCCAGATCCAAAAGTAAAAGTAATAAACTTATCAGGTTTGGAATGTCACTATACCTGGAGAAACCATGGCTAAGAAATGATGGTTGTCGAAGAAAGATGAAAACTATGTAGTAAAATAGCACCAACCTCTGTGGGTTGCTGTGATCTTCAATAGGTTGACCGTCAAGCAGCCATGTGAACCTTGGGGGCGGCGATCCTGACGCAGCGCAGTGCAGTCCTAATGACGGACCAGGATGTAACGCTTGCTCTATAAACGTATAGTGTAGCTCTGGTGCTGTATCTGGGAAGGAAAGGTCAGATGTTGAAGACGATCCTGATTACTAACTAGAAGAAACATATTGCTTTTTTTTTTATTGCTTAGATGGGCGGACGTGCTCACAGGCCACCTGATGTTAAGTGATTACTGGAGCCCATAGACATCTACGACGTAAATGCGCCACCCACATTGAGGTATAAGTTCTAAAGTCTCAAGTATAGTTACAACGGCTGCCCCACCCTTCAAACCGAAACGCATTACTGCTTCACGGCAGAAATAGACAGGGTGGTGGTACCTACCCGCGCGGACTGACAAGATGTCCTATCACCAGTGATAACTTATTTAACAATGTCAAGCTAACCGTAAAGTTTGTGGTTACATAAATTTATCTTCATATCTGATAATGACGTTGGATATATGAATCCCTTGGCTCTCATAATTCAGTGTTTGGGTTTATTCCCCTAATCATGTTAGGTTAGTTGATAATGATAAATTTGATGTAGTGTTTGCTGATCGAAATGAAACCAGTTATATTCACAACAGGTCGTTATGAATATATGAACTGTTTGGCTATGTTCTATTGTATAATTATATATTGTTACTGGTGGTAGGACCTCTTGTGAATCCGCACGGGTAGGTGCCACCACCCCGTCTATTTCTGCCGTGAAACAGTAAAAATAAAGGAAAATTTAGAGGAATTACGAGCGTCTAAATTGTTAAAGGGCAGTCGGCTTTATTGCGATCCTCGTGCAGCCGGACATTCTGACAGGCGATTTGTAATCATATGGTATGAGTCAGAAGCTGAAGCGATAATCAATACTAATATATAAATCTACAGTGGTTTTTACGGATGTTCCGTTATAACTACTGAACCATGCATCCGGTTGATTTGAAACTTGGTATCCATGTAAAAAAGTACTTAATGGATAGGCTAATATTTATATAAGTGTTGGACTACCTAATAATAATGACAATAAAATATAATAATGCTAATTTTAAATGCCCAGCGAAGGTAGCGAGTAGGGCTAGTCAATACTAATTTTACACTTTAATTTCCGATGTATAAACTCCCTTACGTTACAGTTTTCGTGATAATGAGCCAATAATGTCAAATGTCAATAAATATTTTGAAATGCCCATCAAATAAGAATCGCAACGTTAAAATCAATTTCAGATACCCGGCGATGACAGTTTACTAATTGTATCACATCAACTATTTAGATAAACTATTTGTCAATGTTTTCAAAACCAAAGTTCCATACTGTTTATGCGCTTTTTGGAGCTGAATATATAATTTCATTATATTCCCATTTTTTGCTGCGGCTACCTATAAGTTCGCCTACATAGTAAACTTAAATACCTTAAAACCTCAGTGCAGTATCAGCTTTCATATAAAATTGTTGCTCATATATAACTGTTTCAAAATTCAATTTTTGTTTGTTATATATGCTGACTATCTCATCTATATTTCCTAAATTTACGATTAGAATAATTAACCAAATTCTTTTAGACCGAAATAATAGTTTTAAAACAAATCTGTCCATGTCGGAATATTATTCATGCCGTTTATGCCTATCTAATTGGATAAAACTTAATTGTTTTTCATTAAAAGTTTGCATGCACAAACTATTTAACATTTCAATATTACTTTTCCAAAGCAAACAGCGAAATCAATAGAACAACAAATGCCATCAGAAATAACCACTAAAAAAAACCTCAAACAACTATGAACTAGAAACCACAGCTAAACGAGAACCATGACCAAAAACCGAAATTATGCCAAGCCATTTTCATTCCCTCAACATCACGATGCATTGAATAATATTGACTCTAACTGGGTCACACCTAGCAACACCTATTCTACAGAGCTCTAGCCACAAAGCAATCCTCTAACGGAATTCATCTTCATTTATGTTCTCCACTGCCCTGGTAGTACTATAAATGGGGTCATCGGAAATTCGAAAGCCTGGAAACCTCGCCTCGGTCAGTCCCAGGCCGACAGGGTAAGCCTCCCGTTTGACGATCTCAATTGAACGCAGCGTTCGTCTTTGCTTGTATGGCCTAATTTGTAAATTGCGGCGAATGAAAAATATGTATGTTCCATTACCTCCATTGAACGATAAGTCTTATCCTAAATAGAACTACTCAAAAGTAGGTTTGAAGGGTTGGGCAGCCGTTGTAACTATACTTGAGACCTTACAACTTATATCTCAAGGTGGGTGGCGCATTTACGTCGTAGATGTCTATGGGCTCCAGTAACCATTTAACACTAGGTGGGCTATGAGCTCGTTCACCCATTGCTTAGGCAATAAAAAAAACTGAACGATAAGTCTTATCCTAAATAGAACCACTCAAAAGTAATTTAGAATTAAAAACCATACAATTTTTATACCAATCCAAACGCGGCAAAGAATCAAACCGTTATTCTATAGTCCTGTTAAAAATAGAACTTAAACTTTGTATTGTATGTACGTGTATGTATGGCTTGCAGTATTTATCACAATATAAGTAAGCTAATATCAAAAAAATCGCTTACGTTTGTATCTTTAGCCACCACTTTCGTACGTACATCCACAATCGACGCATGACCGGTATAGCAATTACTGCATTTGACGATAATCAATAAACGCACCGCGTGCATAAAACTGCCAACAGTCGTGCCACTTCGGGAAATTACATCCATTCGTAATTACCGATCGAAGCCTGTGATTGGCCGAATGGACGCTAAAAGCTCGGGTGCGACCAATCAAATACGATTTTTGGTTTAGAAATTCTGAATATTACGTTAATGTCGCAATACCATTGCAAAAATATTGTTATTTTATACACTTGGTGAACTACATCTAGTCTGTCTTTGTAGGAAAATTTGCGGATGGATTTTCTTCCTTTCAGAAAAAGCTTTTACACTTTTCGTGGTTATTGTCGATATAGAGCATAAGATAAGCTCAGGATAAATGTGTACAACTGTCTATCAATCATGATTATTATTCATAAAACAAGGAAGTACTCCATAAATTATTGTTAGCAAGTAAAACAAAACAAAGGAATTGAAAAATCCCAAGCGAGAAAAGGTAAATAAAAACAGTAGACCCATTAACACAAAACAGGCTCTTAGCTTGACGATAATCTAATTTACGCATCTCACAGTGCTTAGGTTTGTTTGTACACAACGGACTTCGGAAGTTCGAATTTCACATTACAGTACGTGAATTTTTTATGTCTTAATTTAAAAGTTACATTTTTAAATTAGTTTACATTGGAACGGTACCTTTGTACCTTATTGCCAGATTTATTATATTAGCTTAAAGGATACCGCACCTCTGTTCTTAATAATAAAAACTTTAAAGTTAGTTTATTAAGCTTTGACTGAAATGTTGTTTTAATTTTTTTTGTTAAAGATTATACTTTCGCAATTTATCGATATTATTAGGCGGCTTTTTTGCAATTGTTGTTGCTCTGTTGGGTCATAAGGCGTGTTATGAGAGATGGCAAGTTACAGTCATTAATTAAAATCTATCTGTTGACTATTATCAAATCTTAATTTAAGCCGGAAAATTTTCCAGATTCTTCTCCAAATGTACAGAAGTTAGCTCTTATTTGGTCCTATATTAGGTTTGAAGGGTGGGGCAACCGTTGTAACTATTGCTTGAGACATTATATCTCAAGGTGGGTGGCACATTTACGTTGTGGATGTCTATGGCCTCCAGTAACCACTTAACACCAGGTGGGTTGTGAGCTTGTTCGTCCACCTATCTAAGCAACAACAAAAAAATCATTTAACTTCGACGAACCAACTAACAAAATAAATGTTATTTAAAATAAGCTCGGACCCCACATTGAAGTCAAGCAACAATGTTGAGCGCTCAAATGAAAAATTTCATTTCTACAGTTAGCTACTTCGAAGAATTCTCAAAGAATTGTCTGTGTTTTTTTAATTCGACGACTTTTAAACAGATAGTTAATTCCCTAGAAGAATTTCTTACTCAAGTTTCATGGGTGATAAGGCGCTCCCTGCAGGTAAATAATGTAACTGGCGGGTTTTCTTTTTTTTTTCTTTTTTTTTTGTGGTGGTAAAGCGTCATGCGATCCTGCACTGGTGAGTGCCACCGTGAACTTTCTTTTTCTATTGTTTAGGTGGGTGAACTAGTTCACAGCCAACCTCGTCTTAAGTAGTTATTCGAGCCCATAGATATTACACCGTGATGCCGATACTCATCTTGAGACGTGAGGTCTAATTCTAGGTCTATGTAAGAGATAGTCCGTAGGTCTTGTTGCTTCTAGTTCGACTATCACTGAACATTAAAAAGAGATCGTAAAATACATTTTGCGCAATACTTAAAGCGTGTAATGTAAATAGCCGGTGGCACAGGGTGAACAGTTTCTTATGATGCGGGGGGAGGGGGTTGATTGATTTTGTTTTAAATGATGATTTATGGACGGAGTATCAACACAAATAAATAAATGGAATATGATAAATATTTATACGCGGCCTCCAATACGGTCCGCCAACTACGACACAATTATCTATGCTCTTTTTATTTTTTATTAGGTAGAGTAGAGGAAAAGCAATGTATAGTCGGCTATATACATACGTATACTTGAGGCTGGTAATGCGCGCATATCATATTTTTCAATTTCTGTCTGTTACAATCTGAGATCTTTTTTTTTTTCCACAGATGAAAATCGCCGGATCCACACCTGCCGCGCGGTATGTGGGAGTTGAACCTCACTAAAAACTCCTGCCGCTCACATCCGGCGCCCTACCTCGGACCGGGCCGGAGCCCAGTCGGGGCTATTGAAACGGCGGGACAGGGTTGACGCAGAGCACATTACATCCATCCCACCGTCCCACGGACGCCGGACCGGCGGCCGCCAGCGACACGACCACCGGCTCCCTCGTTCAGCGGGCCGAGAGCCCGCTTTGATGGCGCCGCGTTACACCTTCCCCCAGAGCGGTCGGGGGAACGCGGTCTACCATCACCCGGCTTCCTACTGCGGGTGAGCGTGCAAAGCACGCCACCCCACGTCTGGGTCTCTCCCCGCACAAAACGGGTGGGACCCCTAGCTTTTAGGGGGCCAGGTCATGGATACGACCCCGGTCCCGACCCCCTGCTCGGCGGCGGCGGGTTTCTGCGTAGTGAGAGACAATCTGAGATATCTTGAGATATTTTCAAGATTTCTTGTAGCTGGCTGCAATTTTTTACCACCTGAGGGTAAATGGTTGCCATCACCCATGGACGACGAATGGATGAACATTGCACGGATTGTAGGCGGTGGTATGGTCAAAACGAGATGATGGTATCATTTTAAATAATTCCTCAGAGTACTCTCTGAACTAAAGATCATTCGTAGATCCAGAGGTTCCAAGCGATCCGTGTGATGGTGAGATTCCATACGATTTTACATAGGGAATAGTTGCAACACTTACCTCCAAGTCTTAGTTCTGCAGCCGCCTGTGCACTGTCCAGATCTCGTTCAGCGAAACACTGGTATATCCCTCTATGAGCACGCACCACGCCGTGTACCCTCAACACTTTCTCGCCCCCACCAACTGGCACACCATCATGTAGCCATCTCACTCTCGCATCACCACCCTCGACCGAACAGTTGAAGACCACTGAACTTCCAGAATTAGCTACCTGTGAAACCAAGCAAACCAGGATTATATTTTACGACCTTAACCCTTAATTTGGCAAGAAATTTTTTCAATTTTTTTTTAATTTCTGTTATTTTCCTATGTCTGTATAGGCATTAGGATCTCTGTAAAATAAATAAATAAAATATATCATTTCCCATTTTTGAGATAATCAATGTCCGCTGTGACGATCATTGACAATTATGTTATGAAGGAGTCATAATAATACATGTCCGGTGTAGCGGACAGTACTAAATATGCGGTAATAAAAAGTTGAAGTATTTTGTGGACAGATATAATAAAAAAGTATTTAGTTATGACATTTACACATCTAATTTAGTACGAAAATTAAGAAAACACTTTCTGGCATTTTTGCCAGTTACAAAACATAGTCTGACATTGCATTTTAACGCAATGTCAGTAATGTGTATAAATACAAAATGTATAAATACAAAAAAAACATTTTTTCTGGCAAATATCTGCAACGTCTTTCATCCATAATTGACGGAAAATGATATTTTACAGGGCTTGAAGGTCTTGCTGCGTAAGGTTTGTTTATTTTTGAGTGTTCTCTTACATTCTTTTGGCACTTCGATTGGGCAAAAATAAGTTTTCATATACCTGATGTCTAAATACCTTTAGGGAAATTTTACTTCCAAGCCCGCGCTGGACTCGATAAACAAGCCAAGCATTATTCAGGCAAATATCAACTATTTGTGCAAAAATACCTAAGTACTACCTTCTACTTTTGAAAGCTATTTTGTACAATGATATCAGCATGTCTGCAAGATCTACACCTCCCATATGGCTGTTATATTGACGTACTTTGAGGACATTGCACGTCAACATTTTTTCGCGAGTCCTTACAATATCTTTGAATTTTTTCGATGGGGTCCCTAGCTACGCATGTGCTTTTAAACGTAACAGCCTTATTATCGTTCCACCGAACAACAGGTAGGCAGTTATTATCGCATGTCGATTCTGAAAATGCACCTCTCTCTTTCTTCTTCATTTCCTTTTCCTCACCTGCATCAATTTCTTGCAAATAAGTATAAATAAATATGTGAATTTAATAATTAGGTAAAATATTAGTAATCATCCCAATACATGTTAATCCCGCAATAACTTTAGCAATGTTCGTTGTGGCGGACAAATCAATCAAACACTAAATATTTATGAAATTGATTTTGTTCGCTGTGGCGGACAAACATTGTTTTTAGTAAAAAAAGTCACCAAAACCATACAAAACTACAAGATCTATAAGTGATTTAATAAATTACAATATTACAAAGTTATTTCAGTAAACAAACGTGCACATTTATTAGTAAAACCTTTATAAAAAATTATAAATACTTTGAGTAAAACGGATGGCTTGTGCTTCGCCGACATTTTGTCTCAAAATCACAGATACAAGATTACTAAATAAGAATTTTATTTTTTTTACCATAATAGAAATATATTTTAAAGTTTTTGTTAGATATTTAAGCCGTATAGAAGTTTTCATAGACCCACCAGATTTTATTTATTTAATTGTTCGTTGTAGCGGACTGAGCCAAATTAAGGGTTAAAAGACTCATCGAAAAACATCTAAGTTGATCCCATACAGGATTAAAAATTTTCCGTCATAAATTTATATTAAAGAATGATTTCCTCAATATACATATATTGTAAGTAACTATGTCGTCTTTTCGCATTAAAAGTGTAAAATTTCCAAAAATATTCGAAATTTACGTACTCAACAAATGTTCACGATTGATTTCCACGGTGAAGGAATAACATCGTGTAATAAAAATCAAAACCCGCAAAAATTATAATTTGCGTAATTACTTGTGGTAGGACCTCTTGTGAGTCCGCGCGGGTGGGTACCACCACCCTGCCTATTTCTGCCGTGAAGCAGTAATGCGTTTCAGTTTGAAGGGTGGAGCAGCCGTTGTAAGTTACTTGAGACCTTAGAACTTATATCTCAAGGTGGGTGGCGCATTTACGTTGTGGATGTCTATGGGCTCCAGTAACCACTTAACACCAGGCGGGCTGTGAGCTCGTCCACCCATCTAAGCAATAAAAAAAAATAAAAANTATTATTAACAAAATTAATACATAATTTTATCTTACTTTGAAAGACAGATAATGTAACTAGTAAAAATTAAAAAACAAATGTTGCAAAGATGATTATTACTAAAAATATCATAATAATATATTAAACCTTTAAAACACTCTCCTGTAAAATTTAGTAAGTTTTGAGATTATACAGTTTTAATGCGAGAAGACGATATCAGCATTTCCAGGATAAGATTACTTTAAAAAGGGCTCTTATGCCTGCTCGTCATGTTTGAGTTAAGACCTTAAACCTATTATTTCGATCTCTTATACCGGCTATCTCGCGTATTTTACATAGGTTCATGTAAACTTAAGAATGCGTTCAACTTTTCCAGTGAACAATCATAGAGAGAGAGAGAGAGGGAGAGAGAGAATACACTTTATTGCACACCAAAACACAATTTACATTCAAAAAAACAATCAAAAAACAAATAAATTTGTACAATAGGCAATAGTACAATCATAACATGAATTAGAAGTTCATCTCCTAATGATGTGAATTACAATCCGAAACGCTAAACATAAAACAATGTTTACTAGTACTTGATATTTTTATTTAGATTTGAGGTATTATATTTTAATCCTTAACCTTTTAAGCTTTTTAAGCTTTTACCTAACGCGAAAAGTATTCTTAGTCTGAGCTCAAGGATCAAAATCTTTTGTATTTACGACAGGTATTTAAAATAACGTCATCCAGTATTTGTCTGAAAATATTTTAAACTACGTGAAAATTTTGAGACTTAAAATTATTTGAGGATAAATTCTGTGGATAAAGTAATAATCGGTATGATGTCAAAATATTAAGCTCCTGAAATACGTAATTGACTAAGCTAATTCCTCTAATCTCTAGAAATGAATATTAATTTGTTATTTCTTTATGTTACTTATTTTTACTTATTTTATTATTCATAATACACATATTTTATATTCGATTTCATTTTGCATCAATAATATTTCACTTGAGCCTTCATAAATACAAAAAGCAACTCCTCAATTTAGGGAAGCAGAAATTATCAATTAAAATACAGTAAAGTTTAAAATGAAATGAATGACTTCTGTTTATACAAACGATTATTACAATTACAAAGTTTAGGATGACTTCTGAAACGACCCCTCGCAACCCGGCTCCTTAAATTTTCATGTTAAAATTATCTCTACTTTATGAGTTTTTCAGTGAAGTACTAAAGTTTGAGGAATTAAAATACTTAGCTATAAATTACCGTGATGTGTCCCGAAATTTAATACTGACGCTTGTAATAAATAAAAATAAACATATTCTAGAAATATAAGCTTAATACATATACATACATAAGTACATAATATACCCCTTTTAATTGAGCTGTTTAATGAAAACATTTTTTTTAGCGTTTTATAAACGACTTTCGTTGTTGTAACGATGGCCTCTTTAAGATAATTAATATCCAAAATTTCACGAAAATTCATAGAGTAATTTTCAACTGATGCTCAATGAAATAAAAAAGACAGATAAACCATATTTTCCCTAGTTGTAAATTAAAAAAAAAACAATTATTAGAGGATTATAAAAAAATGTGGCTTCAAAAAAAATAGAAATAATTCTAACATACAGATAAAGCATGATAACCTAAATGTTACAGCCCACTGCAATCCCCTACGATTCGCACCCGACTTATTCGACAACGGTCGGCCAAGACAGTGGGCCTTTACTTGAATAATTCATGAGTCGCGCTGACGAGATCGCCACCGACGGCCGAAGATTAAACATAACTTGCTACTTCTTTGTACGAACTAGTATTAGGTATAGTATAATATAGTATTATAAGTCCGTGACGGGAATGGGGGGTGAAGCTTTTACATAAATGAAATGAGCATTTGCCTGCAAAATACTCTAGCCTGGGTGTTTTTTTGTGTGAATATACTTGCAACGTGATGCTCTTCATCTAAATATATCTCTGTGAATGTGAATGAACTATATATGAAATATAAATGAGTGATAGATTAGGCTTACTAATATTAATGGAGTTAATAGCAATTTTTAAGAGCAAGGTGAAAGCTGTGGTTCAGAGTGACTGGTTTGCCATTCCAAGGAATTTTATTGGAGAATTAAAATCAAATAAAATTCATGATTTGGATACGTTAGTTAGTAGAACGAAGATAAGTTTAACAGGGAAATAACTGCTCTGTAGAAATAAATGACTACAGACGCTCCTAGTCCTCCTTCTTTATTTGATTTTTTTTTTAAAACAAAGTCCAATCGGACATTTATGAACGATGCAAAAAAATAATACTTACAACAACATAGTAAAATCATTTACCATTGGATAAGACGTCCGGTGCATTCGTGTTGACCGTTGCACCGGTGTTCGAATCTCATGCGGTACCAATTTTTCTAATAAAATATAATACGTACTCGACAAATGTTCACGATTGACTTCCACGGTGAAGGCATAACATCGTATAATAAAAAATTGCGTAATTACTGGAGGTAGGACCTCTTGTGAGTCTGTACGGGTAGGCACCACCACCCTGCCTGTATCTGCCGTGAAGCAATAATGCGTTTCGCTTTAAAGGGTGGGGCAGCCGTTGTAACCATACTGAGACCTTAGAATTTATATCTCAAGGTGTGTGGCGCATTTACGTTGTAGATGTCTATGGGCTCCAGTAACCAATTAACACCAGGTGGGCTGTGAGCTCGTCCATCAATCTAGGCAATAACAACAAAAAAATAATAATAAGAAGAAGATACCAAAAAAGTTATTGGGAACATTTCTATCACAGAATTTTTTTTTACCAAACAACAAGATAATAATATTTTATTATATTATTATCAAATATCGTTTACAGATCGCCATTGAACGTAAACAGTTTACCAGTAAAATGTATAATAAATCTAAATTATTAATATTGAAATTGCCTTTCGCTCTGACAAAGGACTGGATGGATTCGGACCGAATGAATTATTCACGAGGTCGGTTGTTCTAGAGATGATTAACTTGCAACGGACACTTGACCATCGAGTTCGAATAGTTGGAGTAGTTGATTTGGTTCTACGATCTCAATTCAGACTTAGTCTTTCTTTTTAGTTTGATTTAGAAGAAACAGTAGTTTTACAAAGGCCTACTGGTGTCAATAACGATTTTGGATGAGCCATTAGTGAAAATGTTAGGTTATAAACGAATGGTGAATTTTTTTTTTCTTTTTCAATGTAGTTGCCAAGGACAAGACTTACGCAAGAAAATTGTTGAAAATAAAATTAAGCAGGAAAGTTAGTTCAAACATGAATGTTGTATTAATTATACTTTACCAAGATTTTTTTATTTTTCAGATAAACCTTGTCACTTTAACATGTTGTGAAATCATCACTATGCAGAGACTGGGTCAAACCCCTGATATTGCTCATATGTAATAGTATCCGAGACTAATCTCCATCAAGTAGGCCGTCTGTTTATCCTAGCTGTCAACTGTCCTGTATTTAATGGTAATGTTAGACGCGCGATCTCATCATCAAGCTTGCGTGAAGTTTGGCCAATTTCACCAGTGAAAACAAAGCGGTATGCACCCAAACTCGAACCTAATAGCATATGAGACTTCGACTTTATCATGTCTCAAAATGAAATTTGCATTCACTTTGTGATGCCTACGACCTTTGTTAGCCAGTTAACACAAGTTGAGCCGTGAGAAGCTTTATCCAACCCAATACCCTAACAAAACGAATAAAATTGTATTCCATATTTTTATTCTCGATGTCAATATGACTTCATCTTAAATCATACATATTCGTCGAACGAACGATATGTCGACATCTTGGATCCGCGAACCGTCTGATATAAATCAAATGTGACCAGAATATTAAGTTATCAATGTTTACATTCAAAGAGCATGTACAATTTCAATCTAGGCTTCTTTGCGTATATGTATTGATATGGAATAGAAGTAATAGTTTTCTACATCAGGGCTGTCATCATTGCTTATTTCTTAAGATTTTTTTAACGTGACAACGTCTTATGTTTCGATGGAGCCGGCTGCACGCACGAAAAAACATTATTCATGCGGCGTTACCTCGCTCTGAGGCGTTCCACGATCACGTGGCTAAACTGGCAACAAATTTCTCCAATTATTTGACGACAACAAAGACGCGAGCATGGAACGCCATAGTCAATTCGAGTCTAATTTGAACATTGAAAACGTCATGAAAGAAATTGGATCGTCACGCTCAATTCAATAGTGATTTCCATTTACCTCCTTCTCTATATCCATACAAAATATCTATCAAACAAATAAAATTAAAATTTTCTTTTGAAAAATGAAACCATTCCATCAGTATTTTCTTATGACGTTGTCACGTTCAACTATCGTCAGTAAACCGACTTTACAGACAACCGATTTTTTTAATTTTATAGTCTCCTAACCCTCTGATCATAGGTGCTTTTGCAGGCTCATGCGAATAGTTGCACTTAACTACTTGTTTCTGCCGCACAACCTCAAAAAGCAGTAAGACTTTATGACTCAAAACGGGTAGCGACTTTCACTTTGAGAAATCCATGAACACCGATTACCACGTAACCCCAGATGGACCGAGAACTCATTGAACCATCTATACCAAAATACAAACATACCATGGCATTGATGATACGCATAGTAAACACAAAAATGGATAGGTAACACCATTCTATTTCTGTGGCGAAGCAGTCATACGTTTTGGGGAGTGGAACACAGATACACAATGCACGTAAGACTACAACCTATTTCTCAAGGTTTTATCTACATTTTGAGGTCTATTAATGAAAGCTACTGGAGGGAGGAACTAGGAGGCTAATGATGGGAACAGAAATGAATAGCCAACATGTAAACTATGCGTTAGGAAATATTTAAAGATTCTTGATTCTTACCTGTAATTGCGGATGAACGCTAACCACCAGTCTAACCCGAACCCTCAGTCTGGCGTCTTTCCTCTGCTCGCCATACTGATTGTGTGCACGGCAGGTCCAAGTTCCGCTATCAGAAATCTGGGCTCTTCTTATGATCAGGACTTGATCAGACACAGATATTCGGATGCTGTTCGAAACGGGACTGAGACGACCATTCGTGTAACGAAACCAACTAAAAAAAAATAATTAGATTACAAAACTACGCACTTGCAATTCCTGTAGGTATAACTTCAGGCTTTCTTACCTATATGTAGGTGGTGGGGTTCCAATGGCGCAGCACACTAGACGTATATCCCCACCCTGGAGCACCACTTCGTCTTCGGATACCATTAGCATCCTGGGTGCCATACTTCCAGTGGAATCTGTTTCAAAAGACAGCAAACTTTGTTTATACTTCTTGAAATACCATAACAGAGGATACTATATGAAGTACTTCGTTTTTTTTATTGCTTACATGGGTGGACGAGCTCACAGCCCACCTGGTGTTAAGTGGTTACTGGAGCCCATAGACATCTACAACGCAAATGCGCCGCCCACCTTGAGACATAAGTTCTAAGGTCTCAGTATAGTTACAGCGGCTGCCCCACCCTTCAAACCGAAACGCATCACTGCTTCACAGCAGAAATAGGCAGGGCGGTGGTACCTACCCGTGTGGACTCATAAGAGGTTCTACCACCAGTAATTACGCAAATTATAATTTTGCAGGTTTGATCTTTATGGCTTTATTGGCTTATGGCCAATGAACAATGTTTAATCGTATGTTTAAAATATTTTCACAAGAATCAAGTGCTACTTACGCGAAACCGTTAGAATTGAAGGTGGACTCTTTCTCTTTTCCCCAGTCAGAGAGTGTTCAGCTTCGCAAGAGTAGGAGCTGGCGTCACCCGGGCGTGCATCTCGAACCACCAAGATATCGTTGCGACCCCCTCCGATGATATATCGTCCTTCTGGACAGTACAAAATTTTCTTAATTTCGAACCTTGGTACCCAAATTATGGACGGTATGGCATCTTGTGAGCCCGCACGGTTAGGTACCACCACCCTGCTTATTTCTGCCATAAAGCAATTTTTTTTTCTGTTTAGAAAGTGGGACAGCGGTTTTACTACAAAGCTGATACTTAGAACTCTCATATCTTAGAGTGGAAGGTAGCATTTACGTGTTTGATGTCTATGGATTCTGGTAACTACTACGCACCAGGTGAACTGTGAATTCGTCCACTTACCTGAACAATAAAATAAATAAAAATGTGTGTGTGTGTGTGTGTGCAAGTCACACACTGTAGAAGTGAACTTATAAAAAATAAAAATAATCGCAAGGGTCAACCACTCCGCAGTTCAACGGAGCAACCCCATCCTGGGGGAACCGCCTGCATCGTTACGGTGTTCCTACGCCATGTAAGTATAATTAAGCAAGAGAAATACGAGAACGTCTATCAACTGTATAACATCTCGTCACCGCGATTCAGGAATTGTTGAATTTACGTGCAGCGTCATCTATTGATAACTAACTAAATAGAAATAAAAGAATCTCAGGGCGCTCTGAGAGCCACGACAGCTTGCACGGATGTCAAAAACACACTGAACTAGTCGTGGACGCGAGACCGCGTGGAGCGCTTCGTGATTTGTCGACGCTGCTCGGAGCCGCTTCGGCAAGCCAATCGCGGCACACTTATTTTTTCGTTTCGTTTCATTTCGTTTCATCGAGTTTGAAATCACAACGGTTCTAAAGAAGTTTCACTTCAAAAATACATTTTTATCGCGATCGTTTATCACGAAATATATTTTCCCTCTATATTTTCTTCAAGTGGATACCGAAAACTTTTTCATGTCACTGAATTGTTTACAACGAGAAATTCTTTTCAAATCTCAAGTACTACCTATCTAATTCGATTTACAAAATGTTTCTTGAAGCTTGAACGAGAATTTGTACGAAGTCGTCAGGACAGACCAATTTATCGAAGTAAATACATACCTAACGTTCACGAATCATTTCGAGATGGGCATTGCCTAATAAAATAAAGGAATACTTAAATAATCGAGATTTCGACCTCATATCTAAATAAATACAGTCGCCCATCTTAAGATGTAAAGTCAACATCTCGATTCATTTGAAATAGCGACTGTCGTACCCTTCAAGGGGTTGATGACTTCAGGGTACAAATAGGCAGAAAATGCCACCAACTAAAGTGGAACACAAAGCATACGCACTTACATGGTATCTTATAAATATTCATAAAACTATGGCCTAATAATAAAATTACAAAAACAAAAGTGGTCGAGGAAAGCGAAGGGTTCTTTTAACTTTGAAAATAGGAAACTGCTATCGTCGAGTACACTTACGCACTTATAAAGTCACATTTTTTTTCCTACTTATGCTGATAGCCTTGAGAAGCCATTTCAGCTTCTCCTTGACGTGTAGGTGAGCTCACGAGGCTCTAACCGCAAGTGTTGCTAACACTGGCCCTAGCAAGAGCAGTGCTTTGCAGAATCTACCACTGGATCGGAAACGCGACCCACTGAGAAGATCCGGCGAGAAACTCAGTTGCCTGTGTCTATGGGTAATTCACTCGTCGAGCCCTTCGTCGCAAGCGACAGGTTCGACAAGGACGGTGACCGGTGCTTGTGGTACCCAAAAGCACCAATAATGGATTAAAGCCACACTGTACTTACTGATAATAGAAACGAAACGAACCATATTCGAATACATTCGTGCACGAAATAACTAAGGATTTTTTAACTCATGTTGTTTAGTTATTGTCAGCAAATACCACTTTTAATTTTAAGTATTGTATCTAGTATTTTTGTTTCTATATATGTGTATGGTAGCCCTGTTTTGCGAGGTTATTATTTTGTACCCATTTCCGTGTTGTTCTTTTAGTGACAGAATTTTCTATTAGATTCGAGAACATTCTTACTAATATCTGTTTATTATTTATGGTCTTCTAATATTATCTACTTCAGACATTTAAATGTTTTTAGCTATCGACTTCAAGATTCAATATGAAGATTTCAAAAGATTGAAAACCAAATTTTTGGCATAATGCTTAAAAAAATTAATATCGTTTTATCCATATTAAGCATAAAAATCACTCTATAGGGTCTTTTTCAAAGTTCTACAAGATTAAGATCGCCTCAAACCAAAATGCTTAGGCTATAATTTAACCAAAAACAATTCAATTCCTTATTTAACTAAAGCCATAAAAAATATCTTAAACACATTTCGACGCGAGAGCCCGTCCCTAGTCGGCCAACGCAACGGTCGTCACGATCAGATAACTTTTAGACGGGAGTTTTTCAATGAATTCTAAATGTGCCGGTGCCTATACTCAACCAGCTTTTGTTTTGCCTCCGCCGTTCTCAGCTGATGTTCCAAAGATACGATTGTTTGCATGATTGTGACTGATGAATTTTTTTTTTGCCGGACGGACTGAAGATTTAAAAATCTCTATATAAATAGACAAAAAGAAAGCAGTCAAATGCCATTTTCTGTCCTTTCACTCAAGAAATTTCTTTGTTTTATAATCTATCCCGGAATAATTATTCGGAATCGCTTTTCGAGATGAGCATCGGCATTACCAGGCTTCAGTTATTTTTACAATATCAGATGGCCTATATGACGACTCCTCATTTACGCCCAAAAAAAAACTGGAATATTTTGAAGATCATCTTTGTTAAGAATGAAAGGAAGTTTAGAATTGGGAACGTTTGAAGAGTTCTGCTTAGACGTGGGTGGGCTTTCGTTTTTTTTAAAAGTAAGTGGTCCTTAAGTTGATTGGCGATAGTGAAAAATATGTAACTATGGGTAGATGAAGATTTTTGGATTCAAAAATACGATTATCGAAAAATCGACAACTGTCTTGAAATTAAATGTTGATGGCCTTTATTTAAAAAGAGCTTTAAAGCAAGGAATGTATTTCAAGGCTTTGCGCCAGTTACTACAATGAGTATAGTCCGCGAGAATGCAGAATGAAATTACAAGATTTATCTTCGCATCTAAAACAAAAACAGAAAAATGTGTCCAGTTGAAATTGGAGAGCAAGAATTTAAAATTGGTGCATCGAACACGTTTTGTCTTGAATTGCAGTGGAGATGAAAGGTGTTAAAGAATAGCTGTGATATTTTTACTCCAGAGATAACTTAATTCCAGTTACAAATCTCAGATTCAAGACGTTTCAAACAGAGTTGTGCGATACTCGAATGAGTTTCTAAAAATGTAATAATTCCATTAATTCCTCCGGTTTTTGCAAATATGTTGGTTTGTTTTACTCAATGGCCAAAAGATATATATTGATGTTAGACAAGTCACAGGTCATTACACAATGATTCTAACCGTATTATAACATGTAAAAGTATTAGTTTTTTTTAAAGCATTGGAATAAGACTTTTCTATTAAAAAATCAGGAATATTTTCCCCCAAAAATTTCAATTCCAATGGAATAACATTTACCAAATTATAAACTTAATAACTTGTTTGATCGTAATGTTCCTTTCGCAACGCAAAATTAAATTGCTACAGAACTCAGTAGTTCTGGTAAACAAAAAGTTTTCAACGAAATTACTTACTTATGTTTCGTATTTTGTTTTTAATTTACTCCAGAAATTGCTTTTCAGGGAAAGGCCTTATTCGGATAAATAAAATTGAAAACATAGTTAGAGCTTTTTTTGGATGAATTTTATAATTAAAAGGCAAGTAATAAAAGCTTAGTTTTTTGCGTGTTTAAGTTTACTTCTATATTGTTGATGAGTAGGTAAAGCGTCTTATCAGTCTGCGCAGCTTATTTGAGATTCTCAGAAATCAGAAATTCTCAGATTGTTTTAAATTATGGTATAGCCATTCCGAATGCAATTGAGACTCCGACTTCAAGGCGTGAGGCAATATCTTCTATACCAATGAGTATACCAGAACCTAATAATATTAGACCGGTCTTTTGTTTCTAAATCCAAAAAGAATCTTTAAAAAATGTGTGAATGTTACAAAATTTTGCAATGAAACTGTGCGAAACACTTGCGTTTATTCATTTCAGCCCTAACAAATAACTACTATTTAAAAGAAAAGAGAAAGAATAAATTAGTCCATAAAATTGTACATCGTCTGCTGAATGAAATTTAAACTTTATTTTCAATAAAACTCGAGCGTGCTAATGCAAGTTTAATGTCCGTCTTTGATGCAGTTTCGAGGGATTACCGCTTTGTTCTTGAACCTGGAACAATCCAAGTATGGATATGGTAATTTAACTAAGTGACTATACTGAGACCTTAGAACTATATCTCAAGGTGTGTGGCGCATTTACGTTGTAGATGTCTATGGGCTCCAGTAACCACTTAACACCAGGTGGGCTGTGAGCTCGTCCACACATCAAAGCAATAAAAAAAAAAAAATAAGCGGAAAATTTTAAAGAAACTTAACAAATCTTGTACTAAGTAATGTAATTAATTTTTTTAACGATCTAACACCACAAGTTACAAACCTTTATATATATAAATAAAAACGAATTGCTGTTCGTTAGTCTCGCTAAAACTCGAGAACGGCTGGACCGATTTGGCTAATTTTGGTCTTGAATTATTTGACGAAGTCCAGAGAAGGCTTAAAAGGTAGATAAATATGAAAATGCTCGGAATTAAATAAAGATAACAATTTTGTTTTTCCTTTGACGTGTTCCCATTTGTTTGTTTTAAGTTTATTTTATACAAAAGTTTAGGTCTTTTATCTATCGACTGAGGCACTACGAAGTCTGCCGGGTCAGCTACTTCTGTAATAAAACGAGTCAAAAGTTGACAGTTGCAGATTGTATTCAGCTCGCTCAATACAAGACGAATGACGCTAAGCCCCCAGATACTCCTTTTCTCTTTACCCATTGCCACATCCACGTTACAAGCTGTGTGTTGTTTCTGTACTGAAACGACTCACAAGTTGGCAGTTTCGTCGTTTATGCAGATTGCATTCGGT